GCCCCGCCCCCCCGGCGGACCGAGCCGCCCCCCCGCTCCTCTCCCGGTGCCGCCGGGCGCGGGGAGCGCCTTCACCCGGACCCCCGCCGGGTCACCTTCCCCCCGCCCCGCGGTGACACCGCCGCCCCGGGGTGACCCCTGCCACCGGCGTGACCCTCCCCGGACGGGGTGTCGCGCCCTCCCCGCCGCACCCGGTGCCCGGCGCGTCCGGCGGCGCTGCAGGTGCCGAGTGCCCGCCTGCGCCCCCAACATCTGGCTGGCCCCGGGCCACTCCCTGTGCACACATCTGGCTGTGCCAACCTCCCTGGATGTGCCTGTTCCCAGCGTCCCCAGCAACCCCCTGCCCCTCGCTGCCTGCCCCGTTCTCCACCCCGTGCCCCTCCCAAGGGCCTGGCTGTCCCTTTCTACCCCAAATATCCTCTCCCGCACCCCCGCGGTTCCCCACGCGTGGCCCCCCCGTCCCCATCTTTCCCTTGCCCCGCGGCGGGCACTGCCTCGGGAAGGCGAGGTGGCCTTGGCACGGGGAGGGGAGGTGACAGGGACACGCTTGGAGAGACACACGGTGCTGCAGGGCCCTGAGCAGCGGTGGTGGAGGAGCAAAAAAAAAAAAAAAAAAAAAAAAAAAAAAAAAAAAAAAAGGAAGGAGGGAATAAGTTCGGGAAAGCCCTTATGCTAAAAGTTTACATGTGTGGCAGAACTTTGATCTGCCAAAAATTGGGCTCAGAAGACTCCTCTGCTCGATTGTATTGATCTTCATGCAAAAGGAGCCGCAGCAATAGTCTGAAGAACACCACCTGTGCTGCACTGGCATCTCAGCAGATCAATAGATGGGTCCCTGTTTAGCTTGAAAAAGACTGTCTGTAAAAGCTCCTAATACAGTGGGGGCTGAACTGCCGCTCCTGTGTGTAACCCCTCAGCCCTTGCTGACTTCTATGCCTGCTCCCCCTCCGGGGGGGGGGGGGGGGGGGAAAAAAAAAAAAAAAAAAAAAAAAAAAAAAAAGAAGGAAGGAAGGAAGGAAAGGGAAAGAATAAATTGGAATGGAAAATGGAAAACGCGAAGGGAAAATGGAGAATGGAAAGAGAAAATTGAAAGGGAAAAGGGAAATGGAAAGGCAAAGGAAAGGAGGGTGAGGAAGACTGGATGAAGAGCCGACGTGAGCCGGTTTTAGGCCACCGGAGGGGTTGGTGCTCGCTGTCCTTCCAGAACGGTTTTCAGCTGGCCCCGGCCCCGTTATCCCGAGCTGGGCTCCCCGGGCAATTCTGGCCTTTCCCGGCCTTGTCCGTTCACCCAGGTCGGCACATGCCGGTTTCCCAAGCGGTATTGAACAGACCCAAAAAATAAAAATAAAATCTATAGTTTCCTGCGGGTGGGGCCCGCCAGCCCCGCGGGGACTGCTCAGTTCCCGGCCGCTGCCGGGCTCCAGGCGGCTTCCACAGCCGAGGGATGGCCGGGAGGAGCTGGCAGCTCCGGTGCGGGGTGGCAGCGGCGGGACAGCAGGGACCGGCCCTTCCGGGGGTGTTCGTGGAGACCTACCCGGCCCCCGCCTGCTCAGGGACTAACTCAGCCAAATCCCGTCCAAATTCTGTGTTTTTAACACAAGCTATCTCAAGCCATCTCACCCCATCTCAACCCATCCGTTCCATCCATCGCATCACATCCCATCCATCCCACAGTTTTCTATCCCATCTGGCACCTTCTCCGGGAAGTCAATTAAGTGCCCAGTTCATTAAAATAAAGCCCCGCAAATTCCTGGGACGTGAGAGCAAGGGTAGATGATGATCGGAGGGGAGGGGGGCCCTCCCCTCTGCCCCTTTTCTGCCCCTTACACCCCGATCCAGCCCCTGGAGCCGGGGCGGGCCCCGCCGAGCCGGGGTACAGAGGGACCGCGGCCCCCCTTGGCCTCCCCCTCGGTTTATGCCTGCCTGGAGGTCCCGGGGGCCCCGAGCAGGACCCCTGAGACGGGGGGAACCAGCCGGGCCGGGGGGGTTTCGGGCAGGTAACGGGACCGGAGCCGGGCAGGGAGGGACAGGGCGGTCTGGAGTCCAGCAGAGACTGGGGGGAGGGGGCGAAGTCGAGGTGCCAGGGGTGGGCACCGAGCCCCAGAGCCGGACAGGGGTGGGCAGGAGATGGACAGGGGGGGGCCTGGGGCTGGGCAGAGCTGAGCAGGGGAAGGCTCGGAGCCGGGCAGGGATGGGTAAGGGGAAGGCTCGGAGATGGGCAGAGCTGAGCAGGGGAAGGCTCGGAGCCGGGCAGGGATGGGCAAGGCGAAGGCTCGGAGATGGGCAGAGATGGGCAGGGGAAAGCTCGGAGCTGGGCGGGGATGGGCAGGGGCCCTGGAGCCGGGCGGTGCCAGAGGGTGCAGAGCGTCGGTGTCGAGGTGAGCGGTGAGGAGGAGGTGGGGAGCAAACCAGGGGTGAAGCATCCGGGTCTGGAAGGGTTTCATTGAGTGTAATAATGGCGATAGCGCATCGACCGCCCATCGATAGATCTATCCCTGCAGCTGCCGTCCCGCACCGCGGCCCCGTGCCGGGCTCCCTCCATCCTCAGCCCCGCCGGGCCCGCGGCACCGAGAGCCCCCCGGGACGGGCTCTGGACTCTGCCCTCCGCCGAGCCTCACACCGAGCAAACAGCAAAAAACAGAGAGACTTTTTAGTAATTAGTGCGACATAATTGAGTAATGCGGTAGCCCCGCGCCCCCCTCCTGCCCCCCCCGGCCCTTCCCCGATCGATGCAATATCATTAGGGCGAGAGGCACCGAGACGCGCGGGGCCGGGCCGCGGGGAGGCGGCGGGAGCTCCCCGGGCCGCCGTGCGGGTTCCGGCCCCGGGGTCTGGGGGAGCCGCGGGGTTCGCTGCCTGCGCGGCGGCTCCGGTCCGGGGAAAGCCCTCGGAGCGCCCGGAGGCTCTGGCCATGGGCCGGGACGCAGCGCGGGGGAGAGGCCCCGGCTCCATTCGCCAGCTGGATACTATTGATCCCTTCCCTCGCCACCTCTTTCTTCCCGAGCTCTCTCTCCCTATTTAATTCCCTTCCCTCTGCTCCTCCGCAGCCGCCCGGGCAGCGCTCCGAGCGGAGCCGGGCGGTGCGGGCACCCGGGGGCGCAGAGCGGTAAGTGCGGGGAGGGGGAACGGGGGGGGGGGGGGGGGGGGCGGGCCCCCCCCCCCCCCCCCCAGCCCCGCCACATCCTCGCAGCGACCAGGGAGCGGAGCGAGGAGCTGAGGGGCGCGGACCCAGCAGCCCCGTCCCCAACCCCCCCAGCCTCCCAGAGCTCGCTCGGCGTCCCCGTCCCTGCCCGCTGCCCCCGGGCCGTGAGGACTCTTGGGGCTGCCCCAGAGCCGGGGGACGTACCGAGCATTGCAGCTCCAGGGCTGTTTTGAGTTCAAGTCTTACTTCCATGCAGCTTTTATTCTGTGTGCTGGTTTGTCTTTATTTTAATTTTTTTTTTTTTTTTTTTTTTCCCTTGCACTTAGGAACAGCGCGAAGGCACAAACGCCCCGGCCAGGACCAGCCCTAACGGAGGGGCCGCACCGCGGGCGGTGCTGCGGCAGAGCAGGCACCGGGCACCGGCCAAACCGTCGGGTTTTACCGGGCAAGGGAAGAAAAGGAGCCGGAAAGCGGCTCCACGCACCCCGCCGGGAGCCAAAAAGTTCCTTAAAGTTCTTTAAGGCTTCAAAATAACAGCACCATCGCCTGGCAGGTGAATTATTTAGTGCCTATAGATCCCTCGCAAACCCTTTCATTTCGGTTCCAAACCTTCCCCAGCCCAGCCTTTGCCTATGGATGTCTCGATTTTCCAACAATCAAGCGGGAGGCAAAGAGCGTGGCAATTCCTGCTAATCGATTTTCCATACAATGGGCCCCAGATGATGTTTTAAAATGTGAGAAACTAAAATGTGTTGGTTTAAATAAGACTTTTGCAATCAATAGCTTTTAAAAAAAGAGTCTTTGATACCGGTTCTTGAAGGGGATTCAAACGCTTTCGCTTCCAAAACAAAACAAAGCAGGAAAAAAACCAGCCACGCCGGAAAAGTTCCGCCTGGATTTGGGGTCATTAGAGTGGGATATGGAGAAAGCCGCTCGGGGGGCGCAGAGCCGGGACCGCGGCCCCCCCGGCCCCGCTGTCCCCACCGCGCCCCCTCCGCGGGGCTCAGCTCCCCCCGGGCCGGCCGTGGGCTTGGCCAGCCCCGCGATTCTGCTCCTTTTCCTCCCTATCCCGCCTGTTCGGGTGCGATTTTCCCTTCCCCGCTCTGCCGCCGGCGCCCAGTCGCGTTGCACTGTGGTTTGCTGCGCCCCGGGAAGGAATCCGACCGAGAAAAAACTCCGGCCCTTTCCCCACCGACCGCTTCCTCGGCTTAAAATTCCGGCCCCCCTCGGCCGATCATCGAGATCTGCGCCCTCCCAGGGTTTTGGGTTTTTTAAAAATTTTTAAGACAGTTTTACCTGCAAGATCAGGCCCTCTCCCCACCCCTCCCGACTTCTTTTCCTTTTCCTTTCCCTTTCCCTTTGGCGGGGTAGAATATAATTTTTTTAATGCCCTACTCGCTTGAAATGTTTCATTCTCTCTGCAGATCCGGCCCAGGAGGATTTTAGGGACAGGAACGGAGCGGGGGTCTGGCCGGGACCTGCCTCCTCCCCCGCCCGGCTCCGCCGCCCGCCTCGCCCCGGTCCCGGTGGGTCGGGCCTGGGCCGAGCTGGGAGGGGGGAAAGCAGCAGAACCGGGGGGAAACGGAGCGGGGGGGCCGGGACGGAGAGCTGGGGGCTGACCCGGTCCCTCCACGACTTTTCTGGAGACTTTTCTCGTTTAGCCGGAAACTTTGGGCGGCCTCGAAACTCAGCGGGAGGCAGCGGCGGGGTCGCGGCGGCGGCGGGGAGTGGGGACGGGGGGGTTCC